TTTTAGTGGCTTGAAGTTTTTTTGAGAAGTTATTGAAAATCATGATTCGTACATAGCATCGTACTTTTGGTTTTTTGAAGGGCTAAGTTTTAATGTAAGTAGGTTTGCTATATTTATACTTTATTCTTTTAACCAATTCCGAATGAAATAAAAAAAATACTTAATAAAACTTTAGAACCCCATAACCTAAGCTCCCTTCCTCATATACTGTGAATCAAATTTGATAGAAAGTAAAAAAAAAAAGAAAAAGAAAATTGAGGTTCTATTCAGACAAACTTGCAGTTATTTTATTTTTTTTAAAAAAGTGCGAGCCATAACTCAACCAAGTTAGCTTGTTGTGTGGTTTAAGATATTCAAGCATCTACTCATAGGGGATGAGCTATCTTGCATAACCCACAACTTTGCCTTAATTGGAATTAAAACCAACTCATCATTATAAAAAATTTTTAACATTTACGAGGAGGTGATAGAAGGCTCCATTAGCAACTTTGATGGATTATAACTACTTCGCTGCATATGCCCTTGCAGTTCAATTTAGTGGTTTAATGTTGATACATACATATTCAAACTATAATCTTATAATGTAAAGTGTAAGTTGTGGCTTGAATGATGGAGATATTGGGAGTTCTGTGTATTCTGCTTTGCACTGAATTTATATAGCCATTAGATTATCCAAAAATTTTCAATACCTACAACCAAATAAACCAAAAAAAAGATTAAATAAACAAAAAATAGTGAAGGAACAAATTTAGCAAGATCAATGGACATAACATGTCATTCATTGCTTACATAAGTAGTAGGAGTTTAGCTTTCTCATCATACACACAAAAAGATACATAAATACCCTAAAGCACAAGATAAAGTTCTGATGAACTACTTCAAAACATGCCTAAGAAAATCAAAACTAAAACATCAGAAGTAATAAAAGAAGCATCACAACGACAACAAAGAGTAATGCAATCATGATTTTTTATAAGGAACATTAAGTCGTCATAGTTTGTTTTCATCATCACATGATTTATTTTCAACATTCCATAATTTGTCTTCGACATCTTCTCAATTGATGCTCATTCAATGTGCTCCTCTACCAACGATCCAACATCTATTTTGTCTTTCCATTTAAAATACCCACAATCATACTCTGAATGATTTCTTGGACATGTATACAATTTTTTTCACGATTGCGCCTTTGTAATTGGTGAACACCATACATTGTAAATTAAACTTACAATAAACTTTATGCAACCTGATGCCTTTTGAGCGTGAAGTTTGACTCAAATTTGTATTTTGCAATAAAATGACAATAAACTCGATTAGAAATAAAACGAAGCAACTATAAATTCAAAATATTACTGATTTCTATAATCGATAAAATGTTGTTGGGAAATTTTGTGATTACATATCCATGGAACATTGAATGCGCAGAACAAAGATGAAATATTTCAAGAATTTGTTGAAAATCTCAACACTCTCATTGAGAATGGCAGATCTTAACCATAACTCATTAGAAATGGATATGTTTAAATTTAACCATACAACGCAATCAAAGTAACATAAATTCTTGTAGGAGAATATATAAATTACTAATAAATCAGATAAAAACTTAAGATATTAATTACCTTCTCTATAAATCTACTAATGTATTGCGTCAGGTTCTCCAACAAGTAACTAAAAAAATACAAAATCAATAAGTATTAATTTTCAATAATGAAGTCAGTGGGTGAAAACAACTTACCAATACATATGTGACGAAGAAGATGCAAAAAGTAAAAGTAATATGTCAAAGCTAATAAATAATATTATATCAAATTAGTTTCAATTATTATTCCGACTATAAGAATTTTGTATAACAATAACAAAAAAAAAAAAAAAAAATTCAACAATGATAATGCTTTTGCTGAGTTCATGAACTTATAACTGAAAATTTGCAACCCAAGCACCTGTATGCTAAGATAACAATGAAAATTCACATCACATACTTTTTTTCTAAATTATTAATATAATTATCTTTGCAAAACCAATCTGAGCTCAACACTTAATTAGCTATAAGATTATATGCTAAGATAACAATGAAAATTCACATCACACACTTTTTTTCTAAATTATTAATATAATTATCTTTACAAAATCAATCTGAGCTCAACACTTAATTAGCTATAAGATTATAAATGTGAATATATTATTTTGCGAAAACATCGCACCACGACTTATGCAAACACACACATACATGTATTTATAATTGAGCATTGCATACCAATTTACTAATCCCATTTATATATACACAAACCGCTTATTCACCTCCACCTAACATAAATTTTCATCGCTAATTATGACCTTTTTTTATCTAAGTTTTATCCCCTGGGTGTTGTTTGGTAATTGCTTTTATGCAGAATTTAAGCATAATTTGACTTAAATCTTGCAAAACATCCAAAATGACATTTTCGGATCCTATATAATCTAAATCCAGTTCCTCCTCCCCTTTGCCCTAAATCTCAGATTTAGTAAATCCGGCTGCTAGACAGATTTAGCAAACTAAAATGCAATAATGGGGAGAAATGTAGAGAAATGCACCCATAAGTAGAGATCCTGTTGGACAACATAGCTCCAATGAGTGAGAGGGAGATGAAGGATTTCAGTTAGGCGTGAAAAAGGAGAAAGATGAGGAGCTTGGATTAGCACCGCTAGCCAACCTGATGAAGAAGTAAATGTTGGACTAGGGATCTGTTTGGGGCAGCTGCATATTCTTGAATAATCTGCTGATAAGCTGATTAAAAATAATCTGCTGATAAGCTATGTGCGATAGTTATTACAAATTTTTATTTTTTTTGGAAAAGCCAAACCACAGCCAGAAAGCTGCCACCACACCTAGACAGGTGCGGTGTGAAAACACAGTTTTTAGCGTTTTGAAAACGCATAAGCTGTCAAAACGCAATTTACCCAAACAGCTTATTTGCATTTTCAAAACGCCACCGTACCAAATAATCTGCCCCAAACAGACCCTAGCTTATTTGCATTTTCAAAACGTCACCGTACCAAATAATCTGCCCCAAACAGACCCTAAATCCAGGTTTGAGAAGGCAGACGACTTCTCACACAAATATTAAATGGGGAAGAGACAGAGGGTAGCAAAATTTTACTACGTGCAACATATAATGTATTTTCGGTGTGGAATATGCAATTTTAATGTTTAGGGTGTAAAATATGTAATTACTCATGTTTTGAGTGCTATACAGGTAAAGAAACCCTAAAAAAGAAAATACTATTTTGAGAGAGAGTAAAAATAATAAAATACAGAGAAGATTAAGGGTTCGTTTGGGGCAACTTATAAGTGCGGGCGGCGTTGTACTGTTTGGTTCGCACGTTTTGTCAGCTTATCTGAAACCGCATTTGAGTTTTTATACTAAACGAAGGCCTTGGGCTGAAAGAAGGCCGCGGGTCGACCGCAGCGGCCGACCTGTGGACCGCGTTTCAGGATAAACAACTTATCCTAAAACACACAAGCCGCCCCACACTGAGGGTCTGTTTGGGGCAACTGCAACTTATTGAATAATCTATTGATAAAAATAATCTGCTGATAAGCTAGGAGCGGTGACTATTGCAAATTTTTATTTTTTTTGGAAAAATCAGATCGCTGCCAGAAAGCTGTCATCACACCTAGATAGGTGCGGTGTGAACACACTATTTTCAGCGTTTTGAAAACACATAAGCTGTCAAAACGCAATTTACCCAAAAAGGTCAGGTGCATTTTCAAAACTCCACCGCACCAAATACGTTGCCACAAAGAGACCCTAAATTGCAAGACCCAACTTTAGGAGGTCAACAGGTTGTGACGAACAGTTGGTTGTGTGATGGAGGTGAGGGCAAGTGTTATTTATATTTATTTTTGGGAAGATTTACATACATTGCTATAAAAAAAGATCATAAATTGCGACATATTCTGCTTTTTAATTAGGTCATATTTAGTTCATTCATTAGTAAAAAAAGATCATAAATTGCGACATAGCTTTTTAATTAGGTCATATTTAGTTCATTCATTAGACAAATGAATTGTTTTGAATTAGATTTATAATATAGCTGAACATTATTAAATTTAGGGAGTATTTGATACCATACTTTTAATAGAATTTAAGTTAGATTTAGGGTTTGTTTAGGTTAGCTTATTTGAAGCGGTGGCATTTTAAAAAAGCACCTGACCTGTTTGGGTAAACTGCGTTTTGGTAGCGTTTAGGGCAACTTATTTGGAGCGGTGGCATTTTTAAAAAACACCTGACCTGTTTGGGTAAACTGCATTTTGGTAGCTTATGCATTTTCAAAACGCTGAAAACAACGTTTTCACACTGCACCTGTCTAACTGCGGTTGCAGCTTTCTGACTGTGGTTTGGTTTTTCCAAAAAAATAAAAATTTGTAATAGCCACCGCACCTAGCTTATCGACACATTAATTTTAATCAGCTTATCAGCAGATTATTCAATAAGTTGCAGCTGCCCCAAACAAACATCCCAAACAAACACTTAGGCGCTGTTTGGTTCGGCTTCTGCTGCTTATTCAATAAGTTGCAGCTGCCCCAAACAAACACTTATTGTAAATCCAGTCGAACACCAGAAATAGGTTAGATGAATATGTCCTTAAGTAAATTCTAATATTTGCTTGTTTAGTTTATTAAATCCACTCATTGGATTTCACAAATTTAGCTTATGAAAAAAAATTAAAATATGTTTATGTCAAATACATCAAATCTAGATTTAATTTTAATTAAAGCAAATAATTTTTTAAATTTAATAATATTTAAATTCGATAAATATAAATTTAACCTACTTGACTAAATTCTATTTAACTTGAATCCTACCCCAGCCAAACACCCCTTGTTATGTGATGTCTGCTATCAGTTCTGGCTCAAATCATTTAAAAGATAAATAAATAATGCTTAAAATTAGCATTTCGTCGTCTCCTTGTCGCGATCGATTCCAATCCCGGATTCTACCATCAGGTTCGTGCTTATCTTGTTTTTTTTAGCGTTTTCGTAACACACATTAGCCGTAATACTTTTAATTGTGTTTCCTTGTGAACGACTCGCGTCTTCTGACGGAGAATTCGTAGATCAGCGTGCTTTATTGTGATGATATACTGATTCTTCGTCTGATTTCGATAACCGGCATATAGTTGGATTCAGGTATTTGATTTCTATTAGTTCTCTCATGTTGCCTTTTTTGTATGTTTAGCGAAGCGGATTGATTAGTCGGGGCTGGATGGCCTTTAGTTGTGTCGGAATGTTTGCAATTCCTACACCATGATGAGGCTTTAGCAGTCTTTGATGTGGACGAAAAAAGTCTGTGGTTGTTATTATAATGATTCCCCAACAAAGGTCGAAGTTACTATAAAATGCCATTTTTGAAATGAAGCTTTGACACCTCGCTGATTGGAGCAAATATTTGGTGCGGACACCGTAAATTTGGAGTGGAGGTATTCTGGTGGTATTGTGGACTGCAATACCACCAATCCACACCTATCTCATTCACACGCAATTTTTTCTCCGTTGATTGAGCTTTGCGATGGATTTTTGAAACGAGAGAGGAGGCAGTGGTTATGAAGATAGGAATTTTCCAAAATTTAAAGTTTGTAGCTAATTTTTCACAAGTGCTTGGAGAAACTTCACATAGCTGAAGGAAGCCAGGAACTTGTGAAAGAACTTACATACTCCTCCAAGCGGGAAACTTTTTTTGTAGTAAATTCATCGAGTCATGGAAGAGAGATACAAGGATTGTTTATGGTAATAGTATGACTTGAACAATGTTATAATAGCACATTAGAGTGATCTAAAATGAAATAATAAAAAAAATTGATAAAGTCTAAATTTAGTTATAAACTTCCAAATTTATTGATATTTCAAGTGTTATCTATGACGTTATTAAATGGCCCGATGGTATCTATCAAAATTCCTAGGTGATGAATTGTCATTTGGTGGGCTAAATTCTTGATAATCTTAAAAAAACTTTGTGAAAAATTGTATGTTTCATGCAAGTAGCATATGATTCATCTAGACGACCCCACTTAGTGGGATATAAGCTTGTTGTTGTATGCAAGTAGCATATGATAGCGGACAACCTCACTAACTGTAGTCATTTCAACTGTAGTTTAATCAGTCATAATACGATTGGTCTCATGCCAACTAGGGAATGGATTGTGTGCTGACACATTTATAATAACAATATAAATTGATACGCTAAGACTAATATATGTATTTTTTCAAAGTATTTGAGGAAAATAAATGCATTTTGTGACGCAATTCATGATGATTAATGTAGATTGATGTTATTCATTTATTAATTTTTATTTTAGACCCATTTTGAATTGTGTTTTTCTTTATATCTGTTAGTTTCATGAGGACTATCGTAACAAATTATCATATAATAAGGCTAGTGATTGTGTTGGCCATTTATGTCTTGATCCGACACAATGCTGGAATTAATCAAGATGTGAACGAACTTTCGGGTGGGGGAAAAATTTCTCAGCTATTCTATTTATATTACTAAAAGATTAATATTCAAATATACATGAAGGAGTCCCAAAAGAAAATAATTAAATTAACAAATAAAAATGTGCATCTTTCTGGTTGTTGTTCTCGCCTTTTATACACATTTATTTCTCTTATACTCATTTTGTTCAATTGCTTATAATCTAAAAAAATATTAAAACAATATAATGAGTTATCTAAAGATAACCCATGAGTAATCACACTTCTAAACTACAATAACCAACGGAGAAGAAATCAATATACATGCTGATATTTCATATCTCTATAAAAAATCATATAATATGCCAGTCTTTCATATTTTTATAAGAAATCTAATAATATGCTAAACTATATGCATGTATCAATTACTTTTTACTCAATAAAAAATATTCTAAACTACATGCATTACTTTAGTTTTACTTTTACTTTATACTCTTTATATGCACATCTGTCTCTGTAAAGATCACCGTCAACAAAGCCTAACACACCATTGACTGATATTATTCTGTCAGATCCCATTGGCATAGTGGTTAGCGATGTAAACATCACAATTTTCTAGGGTGGAAAGACCCATAGCTACCTCCTGATCGATATTTTCCCATCGGCACAGTGGTCAGCGATGTTGTCTGGGGAGGTAAACTCTGGTTTACTTGCCCCGGTTGGATTGTGACAATTTATTTGACAAGCTATTTCTTTAAATAAAACATTTTTCCTTGTAAAATCTTGCTATGATGAGTTCAATGATATGTTTTTGTAATAGTTGTTTTGGCTCTTTTTTTTTCTTTCTTTAAGGATCTAACAACCCATCTTTTGATGAATTAACATAACATCTTGAAGATACATATTATATTGCGTTACTTTTACTTTCTGTCATCTTCTCTCCGAAATCTCTTTTTTTCTACAATTCTACATGTACCCCACTTCAATTTGGTATTAAAGCAAATTTTTTTTGCATTCTATGAAAGATTTTGCTTTTATAAATGCGTTTTTTGATAATTTGCCACTTTCCTGTTTTATTTTTTGTTATTTTTCGCTAGAGAAAAGGGTGAGAGACAAAGAAGATGGAGTAAGAGAAGCTAGAGTGAGAGAGAAAGATATAGAGAGAGGGAGCATGACAGAGAGAGGGATAGAGAGAGCAAGTGAGAGAGGGGAAGATAAAGCAATAGAGAAAAGGAGATACAAGGATAAAGAATGAGAGAGAAAGAAAGAAAGAGATCAAGAGATAGAGTGTGTGAGAGAGAAAAAATGTCGATAGAGAGAGAAAGGGAGAGAATGGAAATGAGAAATGAGAGAAGGGAGAGGGAGATAGAGAAAGTGAGAGATAAAGAGAAAGAAACAAAGCGAGACAAAGAGGAAGTAGGGGAGGGAGAAAAGGGAGAAAGAGGAAGAGAAAATGATAACAAAGTAGAGTGAGAGATAGAGAGAGAGAAAGATGAGTCAACAAGGCAGAGAAAAAGAGAGGGAAAACATTGCAAAAATTGCAATTATAATTTTTTTTATTATGAGCCATGTACTTTAACAATATCATTGCCGGTCCCTATCCCAAATGTGAAAAGTGGAGGGTTACTTTAGGTAGTCGACAACCAACGTAAATCATGACATAAATTTTTTTGATCATTGTGTAAGTGCTAGGGTGTCCCTTTGAAGCGACGTACTGTATAGCCTGAATACAATGAAAAGTGTGCAAGGGCCGCTACATCAACACTAGGGTGTAATGTCAAATAAGCAAGAGTTTCCACATTAAAGACGAATGCGCGTAAAGAAGTTAGTCTATAAAATTAATGAAACTAATATTAGAATAAAATCTTGGAATATATGTACTCTTAATGATAAATTAATAAAATTATTTGATATTATGATTCATAAAAAAGATTAATATCTTATGTATTCAACAAACTAAATGGGTTGGAGAAAAGGCTAAGAAGATTGATAACTTAGGTTTTAAACTTTAATATTTTTGTAAGAGTCACATTAGAAATGGTGTAAGTGTAATTATAAATAAGAGCTTGAATGATAATGTTGTAAAAATTAATAGAGTTTGAGATAAAATTATAGCCCTTAAGATTATCATTGATACTAAAATTTTTAATATTATAAGTGCTTAGCTCCTCAAGTAGGTTTAGATATAGGGTCTAAAGATAAATTTTGGAATGAATTAGAATACTTAATACAAATGATACCTCTTGAAGAAACAATTTTTATTGGAGGAGATTTAAATGGATATGCCAGCAAAGCGGTAAAAGATTTCAAAAATGTTCACGACTACGGTTTTGGAGTAATTAATGAAGAATGTATAACTATTTAAGATTTTGCTTTAACGTATGATTTTGTTATTACTAATATTTTATTTAAGAATAGAGATGGACATCTTATTATTTATAAGAATGGATCTAATAAAACACAAGTTGATTATTTTCTTATGAGAAGAAGAAATCGTCGAGATTGTAAAGATGGTAAGGTCATTCCAAGTGAGGATTTAAGTACCCAACATCATTTATTTGTTTTAGATTTTAAGATGAAGAGTTGTAAAATAAAGAATACTAGGATCATCATCGTAGAATCAGATGGGAGAACCTAAAAGACACAAATAAAATTATTTTTATGAGAAATTCAAGATTTCAAAATTTGGGATATTCATGATGAAACAAATGCTATGTAAGATAAAATAACAAATACTATTAAACAAGTAATAAAAGATGTACTTGGAGAATCAAAAGAAAAAAAATTCTATAAATAAAAATAGTTGGTGGTGGAATAATAATGTGCAAGAAAAGATAAAATATAAGAAGTTATGTTATAAAAATTGGTTTAAATGTAAAAGCTCATAGAACTGAAAAAAATATCAAATGACCCGCAGTGAGTCTAAAAGAATAATTTGTGACACTAAAAATTTTGCTTTTAATGACCTTTATAATAGATTAAATACTAAGTAGGGTGAAAAATTTATATATAAACAAGCCAAACAAAGAAAAAAGAAAAGTAAAGATTTAACTTAAGTGTATTAAAGATGAAAATAAAAAAATATTTTTCTTAGAAAAAAATATTCCATAAAGGTGGGTGAGTTATTTTGATAATTTTTGTAATGAAATTTCTGAAAATACAATCGACCTTAGTGATCTTAATATCGTTAACAATAATAGTAATACATTTTATTTTTACCGTCACATTAGTTAAAAAGAAGTTAAGGAGGCTTTAGAGGAAACCAAAGGTGGAAAGTCTGTAGAACCTAATGATATTCCAATTGAATTATGAAAATATTTAGGAGATTTGAGGATTTCTTGGCTTACTAAACTCTTTAATATTATTTTAAAAACTAAAAAGATGCCTGAGGAGTAGAAGAAGAGTATTTTGGTCCCCATTTTTAAGAATAAAGGGGATGCACAAGAGTGTGAAAATTATAGAGGGATTAAGTTAATGTGTCATACTTTAAAATTATAGGAGAGGGTAATTGAACATAGTTTAAGACGTATTACAAAGATTTATCATAATCAATTTGGATTTATGCCAGGCAGGTTTACTATGGAAGCCATACATTTATTGAGAGGTTTGATGGAGAAGTTCAGAGATATTAAGGAGAATCTACATTTGATTTTTATTAATTTAGAAAAAGCTTACGATAAGGTTCCAAGAGATATCCTTTGGAGAGTTCTTGAGAAGAAAGGTGTTGATATGACTTATATTCAAGTCATTAAAGACATATATACTAGAGCTATTACTTGTGTTCGAACTGAAGGAGGATTGACCAAATATTTTCCTCTTCTGTTGGATTACATCAGGGATCGGGTTTAAGCCCATTCATTTTTGCTTTAGTTATGGATGGTCTTACTGGTCATTTACAGGAGGATGTACCTTGGTGTATGCTTTTTGCTGATGATATCCTTTTCGTGGATAAAACGAGAGAAAAAGTCCATAAAAAACTTGAATTATAGAGGTCTACATTGGAGTCTAAATGCCTTCATTTGGGTAGAACTAAAACTGAATACATGGAATGTAATTTTAGTAGTAGTAGCTCTAGTGACAAAAGTGTAAATTTGGGTGATCAAATTATTAAAATGTGTGAACGATTTAGATATCTCGGGTTTGTTGTTCAAAGTGATGGTGATATAGATGGAGATGTTAATAGTAGAACTCAAGTTGGTTGGTTGAAGTGGAAGAATTGTTAGGGCCTTTTATGTAATAAGAAAGTATCACTTAGACTAAAAGTAAAATTTTGTAAGACGGTGTGAGACCCGCAATGCTCTATGGCGCTGAATGTTGGCCTTTAAAAGAGTAGTATAATACTAAGTTAAGTGTTTCCGAGCTGAGAATGATTAGGTGGATGAGTGGCTTTACACTCAGGGACAAAATGCGAAGTGAATATATCCGTGATAGGGTTGGTGTAGCTTCTGTGACGAACAAAATTAGAGAAAGTCGTCTTAGATGGTTTGGTCACATTAAGCGTCGACCATATGATGATCCGATTAGGAGAGTAGATGTTTTAGATTCGACTTATGTTAAGAAAGGCAGAGGTAGATCTAGGAAGGCTTGAGCTTATTGTAAAAAAAATGATCTTAATTTATTAGAACTAAATGAAAATATGACACCAAATAGGACACAATGGAGAAAAAAGATTCATGTAACCGACCCCACGTAGTGGGATTAAGGCTTTATTGTTGTTGTTGTTGATAAGCCATGTACTTTATTGGTCACGAGTAAGAAAAAGTCTCACATTGCTCATACGTAAATATCCCAAATTATACAAAATTTATAGAATTTACATCCCTGTCCCCTTCCATAAATGCCTTCACATATATCTTCACTATAACATCCAATTTTTTATCCTTTTAAGTCTCTTTAATATCTTAACATTTTTCATCAATTTATTTAAACTTTAGTTTAAATCATAAATCCAATTTTAATTCTAGCCTTCAACCAAATTTTTAGAATCCATCCATTAAATTAACCATCTATGTCAATTCATGTTTATTTTAATCTTATCTGATTTGCCTCTCAATCATCCTAAAAAAATCCTCCACAAAATCCTCTTTACTCAAATTCAATCCAAAGTAATTTTATCCATTACTTGGTTTATTATTGCTCACATTAATTGTGCCAAGTATAATAAGTAATGTTTTAAAAGACAAAGATGCAAGATGGAGTTGTCATTGTGAATGGTTCAAGCTCTACAGATTTTATGTTTTAGACATTTCATAGAAAAAAAAAAAAGATTTACAAGTCAGATATATGGAAAAAAATGAAATAAAATCCAAAATTCAAATGCATAACAATTTCTTTCATATTCTAAATCCAAAATCAATATGACAAACAGTGCTTGGGAATATGATAGCTAAACAGCTTGGTACGTGGGCCAAACAAAAATACATCATACGAACATTTAAATATAAAAGATAAACTAATATTTAAATCCCTAAGATCTCAAAAGCCCAAACTATTATGCCATATGGATTATAAATATAAGAATAATTTTCAAATACCGCATTTTATAACATTTATTAGAGATCTTAGAGTGTTCGGCAAAGAGTCGATGCTTTCAACCTTGTCATTGAAAACAAACAGAAAAGCATTGATGAGTGTGCTTGTGGTCAAGATGAGGCATCGGTTGGCGAGTTGGTGGAGTTGAATAGATCCCAACGAGTTGGTGAGGGAGCAAAGTAGATGAGCTACAACAAGTTAGTGTAAGAGGAATTATGATTGAACAAGTTAATGCAGGAAGTGATTGTGCGCTGACAGGGGAGAAGCCGTGAGAAAGTGATTCATTGATTGCGAGCAAAGTAGATGAGCTACATTTATTGAGTGAACATGTTAGTGTAAGAGGAATTATGATTGAACAAGTTAATGCAGGAAGTGATTGTGAGCTGACGTGGGAGAAGTAGTGAGAAAGTGATTCATTGAATCGAATAAAGAGCTGTTTGAGTCCATTTAGTTTTTTTTTTCTCCCTACCGGGTTAAGTTATAATTTTTAGACTTTTTTTGGTTAGATTAAAGTGTAAAAACATGTTTTATTTGAGTTTGTGATAGCTTAAATTTTCCATTTCTTTAATTTGAGTAAACCTAAATTGTAGCGATTGCCCCTATTTATGGGGTGTAAAAGGTTCAACTTGCATGTTTTGGGTGAGGTGCCTTGTGTTGTAGGCTGAACTCTTCTCTTGTTTGCGTCGAGAAAGTTTTAGCTCATCTCAGCTCACATCACTTCACCTTGGGTGCGTTCAAGAAATAACTTTTAAAACATTGATTTAAAGCATCCTTTGTTTTTTTTTTCATGGAACACCTGCTGGTGGTGAGTAAAAGAATGGAAGAAAGAGAATTATGTCCTTATTTCTTTTTCAAGCTTGTTGAACTTCGCAGGAGATCTACTGCATTTCTTCTTAGAACAGAACATCAATTCTTTATAAGGCTATGATGAGTTTGTTTAGTCTATGGAAGCTTCTAATTATTTCATCTAGAAATGCTAGAAGTTTTCTAATCAGATGTATATCTATTGACTATGATTCTTTTGCTGGAATTCATGAAGCTACTTAACTGTTTGGAGAGATTTCACTTGTCTCACTCTTTGACGGAGAGTTCTTCCTCCCTCGAAGGAATTGAGTGCACCCTATTTATCGATGTTGATCTATGTAAGTAGAAATTTTGTTATATATTTGCAATTTATATTTATTAAGTATTAGCAATTTATCATATGCTATTTGATATTTTCATGGGGATTATGATGTAATAAGTCTTTTGGGATACTTTTAGTTGTCAGGCTTGTTCTATACATACTTTCTTATTCCAGTTAATGAATTCTTACAAAACATTTGTTGTTTCTCTACTTTTATTGTCCTGAAGATTTGATATCCCAATCCTTTAAAGAGTCGTTGTTAACATCCTGAGTATTCTCAATTAATCTTTCCTTTTCCTCTCTCATTCATCACCTTTTTTTCCTAAATCTCTAATTTTCTATAATTTCACTACATACCCTCCCTCAAAAGCATTTAAAACAAATATGAATTAACTTGTAATCACTCTTTTTTACATTTCAAATGTGCTTATGGATATCCACTTTGGCCTTAAAAACCTCTAACGTGTTTCATAATTTATCTTTTGGCATCATAATAATCAAAATATGCATGCATGTGAATACTAGTAAGATCTAAAGATCTTTTGTGGTTGAAGTCACACAATAAGCTTTAAGTACAACGATAGTCGCAACATAATGTATAACATCAAGTTGTTCATTTTGGTCCATATCATCCTCATAGGAAATAGTTTCTTGATCCCTAACATGCTCACTATTTTCATCTTTCAAAATTTTTGTTCATTTAGTTTCTTTCTCAATAAAAAAAAGTTTCACGGGACACTCAAAAGTCATATACACTATTTGATTGCAATAAAAATATAAGATAGATTCTCTAATTTGAGTACTTTTCTTATAAAGCGAGGAATTATTATTAAGATAATTTTAGAGCAAAGTGCCAAACTAGTCCCTTGATAATTTACATGGGGCCATTTTAGTCTCAGAGTTAATGAAAGTGTCAAATTGGTCCCCAGGCTAATAGTCCTCCGTAAGGATTATTTTAGCTCTAATTTAAAGAGTATGGGGACCAGTTTAACACTTTTTATAAACTCCAGGACTAAAATAGTTGGGGACTATCTTGGCACTTCTGTCTAATTTTTACAAGATCTTGAGTTGCATCTTATATAGGCTGAGTTTGGTCATGAATTAGTGAAGATTTGACAAACTTTAGTAGGGTTTAAGGTTTGGCAGCACTCCTAATGATAGAAGGCCTCCAAAATTGCTTGATCTCAATCATTTTTAATTCTCTGTCTAATTCTATTAGTGTGACATCTAGCTATATGTCCTCAAAATTATTTAGATAGTCATTAGTATGAGTTCTTTCTCTCACTGTATGAAGTTGATCAACTAATTGCCTTTTTAATGTGTAAATAACTATATTTGACTTCTTTATATTTCATATTTTTCCATATTCTAATTCTTAGTCCAATTAGGAAGGTATTTCATCCAACACTCCCAGCCAATCTTTTGATTGAATTTACCAATTTTACTTTCACAAAATGTATGCATTTGTGGTCATCCATGTGATACCAATAAAAGAATTATGTATTTTAGAGCTCCAATCTAAGAAGTCACTAGGACCAGATCTCCCATCAAAAGTTAAAGCACCAACTCTTTATTTATTTATTATTATTATTTTTTTGTAATGATATGCAATTTCTTATTCAAATTATTGATTAATAAGTCCAAGATCCTTAGAGTCACCACTGAAATAGTTGTCACATTGTTTTGAGCTAACTTCATATTTATCTAGGTTTATCTCTAGTTGTTAGAATTAACAACATTCATTAGGTTATATCCTGGTATAATGTAGAATTGCATTATGACATCGACGAGGATAATAAATTATCAATACTTCACTTTTAGGTATTTGATTTCAAATTTCTGGGATTACTAGCTGACGCGGGAGCTCTTTCTTCCACAGAATTTCATGGAATAGGCTAGAGGTGCGATTCTGTTCAGTTCCCGAGCATTCCTGTGATTGCGGGAAGTCCGTTATGTGTGGAATGCCGTTCCATTATTTATTTCAGCCAATTTTTTTTCTTATTTCTCTATTTCTAATTAGGTTAATTTTTATGAGGGAATTATATCTTGTTAATTTCTATTTTCTCAAACTTTGAGATTTGTTTATGTTTTTTGAAAATATTTTCTCCTGGTTTTCCCTATTAGAGTGTTGTATCCTTGAATTTACTTTTCGTGGTGTGTCTGTAACATGATATGATCGAGGTGGTGAATTTTCTAGATGTTTAAAGGCCTTCTTCTCTGTTGCAGTTGCTGCCTACGGTTGTTTGGCAGCAGATAAACCTGCTGAGTTCCCCAGTCAGCTTGCTGTCCTGACACTATTTATGCCTGATTTCAGCCGACATTCCTCCTCTTACTCCCGTTACCAATCCTACAGCTTAAGTACCCCTTGCTTGTATTCTCAAACACCTTCTAGAAGCCCTAGAACGGTGTCACTGGCAAGGGTGAAGGTTGGTCTTGTGGCATATTACTTGTTTAGTTGTTTGAGGACGAGAAGTTCTCTCACAAAATTTTTCCTTCTGTGCCCTAAGATTTTGTAATTGAACACTAATTTTCAGAACTCTCCTTCTCAATGGCTTATAAAGAGCTGATAGGGCTTCGTGTGGACCACTCTTTCTTGCTGAACGTGGAACTTCTTAAGCTAGTTCGAAAGATTTCGTCTTAATTGATGAAATGACATGGCGAACAGTTCAATTTTAAGGGAGATGCTAAAACCAAATCAAGGAACAAATAAAACTTTTGGGTATTCCTTAGCAATTATTCCGCCGAAGTGTTGTGAGAGTGTTGAAGGAGTATTGGAGGCAGATGACATTTTCTGCAATTTGTAGGGGCTGGTGAAAGCAGCTTGGAAACAAAGATTTTGTGCTCAGTAGCAAGGAATCGTTATGATGACTACAATAATTTCTTGCAGCAGGATCATCAATTGAGAACAAAAATAGAGCCATAGTTGTTCCGACTTCCTAGAGTGCAGGAGCCATGAGTGTGGACGGTCTTTATTTCACAAAAATAGAGCCATAATTTCACTCTCTTTTGTTGCTTACGAAGATGTTTTAGCTTATAGAGACACAATTCAGAAGTTTCAAGCGACAACTATTGATATTCCTCCTTGTATTGTCATGGTTTGGAATGATTTAAGATAAATATTATGTATATATTTAGCTGAATAGGTGGAGACATTTTAGAAGGGATGAGATGATTTTGAATTTTAACTTGAACTCAACTTTAAATTAGAATTTTGAAATTATAACCACTATTTAATGTTGAATTTGAAATTGAATTCAAATGTAAAATTTGAATTAATGATAAGGACTAAAATTCGATGGCTTTGGTTTAGAAAGAATTTTGTGAAAGAGGGTGTAAATAAAATTAATGGACGAGACTGATTGTTTCCAGTCGAGTAATTGGATACAATAGTGGGATGTTCCTCCTGATGCATCAAACACATTGTTTGTGGAAGGCCTTTTTGCTGACTATACACGAAGAGAAGTTTTTTGTATATTTCATCTATTTGTGGGTTTCCAAGAGGTGAGACTTGTGTCCAAGGATTCTAAATATACTGGAGGAGATTCGTTTGTGCTGTGCTTTGTTGATTTTACTACACCTAGCCAGGTTGCGATCGCATTGGATCCATTGCAATCTTATTATTGGATGAACATGATCGAGAGTTGACATGTTTGAAGCTGCAATTTGCTCGCTTCCCTGGTCAACGTTCATCTGCTGGGCCTCGTAGTAGGCGTTGATTTTTTGGAGTTGTATTTGATGCAACATAGTTGTTTTTTGGTGTTATTTATTGATGGAAAATTTTCTCCTCGCTGAGTATTTTATCGTTGCATGTAATTGTTCTATTGAATTCCATTTTCCATGTTTCTCCAAAAGGCTCCTTTTCGTATCGACATTTCATGTGAGAGATGCTGACCTATTAAATTTCCTTCACAGGTTTCTCTCTGTAGATTTCCAGACTTATCTACTCCACTAGAATTCTTCTTGCAACAAACCTTCTTCGGAGCTTTTTCCAGTCGTAGGCCTACCTCTAGAGCTTTTTCCCGCACAGGCCCTGCTCTAGAGCTTTTTCATGCAATAGTCCCTCCTCCGGAGCTTTCCCCTGTAGTAGCCCTCCTCTTGAGCTTTTCCTTGCAACATACATTTCTTTGTAACTTTTTCCTACAACAAATCTATAATTTTTTTCCACAACAGACCCTCATCCGAAGCTTTTTCCTGCAGTAGGCCCTCCAGATTTTTTTTTACAGATCATACGCTGCAGCTTTCCTTGTAGGTTGTCTATTTCCTTGGAAACTACCCTGCAACATTGGCTATAATAACTTTTCGCCTACCTACGAACGTTGTAGAAACTGCAGTCCAAGACAATCGCAGTCAACTAAAAGTCAGTTTTTTCTATAGCTTGTCTACTTCCTTGCGAATTCCTCTACAACATTATCTGTAAGAGTCTTCTGCCTATCTATATATACTGCAGAAATTGCAGACAAAGACAACCACCGTTAATTAGAAGTCAGCTTTTCTTATAGGTTGTCTACTTCCTTGCAAAATTTCCTGCAAAATTACCTATAGGAGCCTTCTGTCTAACCACAGACACTGTAGGAACTGTAGTTTGTGATGAAAACTTAAAGTTCTACTTCATGAGATCTCCCTCGTCCATTTTTCGATATTTTCAAATACAAGTTGAATATGATTTTCAACCAAGTTTCAACTTGAGGGGGAATGTTAAAAGTTATATTAGTAAATAATTTATTCTTGTTAAAAGTTACGAGGTTTGGATTTATATTTGGATTGGATTTATTTCCTTGGTTGGATTTATTTCCTCTTATTTTAAGCTTTCTTATTTTATGTTGTTTCCTTTTATCTCCAAGTAATTATTATGAATTAATTAATTGGATTTATATTTGGATTGGATTTTTTTCCTTTCTTATTTTAAGCTTTCCTATTTTATATTGTTTCCTTTTACTCCAAGTAATTATTATGAATTAAATAATTGGAGATATAAGTGTTATACTTTTTTTCTATGTTATTATTATTTTTTTTATGTTTCTTATTATAGGATTCATATAAGGACATTTATACCCACTTTCCATATCAATAAAGTAATTCTGAATTTCAACAGTTTCAGTGATCCTTTAACTGCATATCGGGAAACATTTTTATCTATTTTATTTTAGATTTTCTGAGACTATTTTTTATTGAGCAGCATTCATTAAATGTTTTGATTAGAAGTATTGGTGCCAAAAATTTGATGCTTGAAGTCTAACTCTATACTTAACAAGAAATTATTGTCTTATTCTGTTGTATGAGGTATACTGGCATGATTTGAAATCCGTGAAAACACGTGCTGTTTTGACGTTGTCTTTTCATGTCTTGCTAGTCTGCATTGACATATTATGTTTCTTACTAATTGAAACTGTAGCTATAATGAATTTGAATTACATAGATAATTTGTGCAGAGACTGAATCTATGACCTGTTTCCTTTATTTCCTCGAATAGCTGATGTAATTTTTATCAGCTTTTCCAATTCTAAGCGGTTTGCTTATACTTTTCTGCACTTTATCAGTAAGTTGTCTGTCATTTTCAGGCAAGAACTTCTAATGTAGTTTTTTTTCAGGTTTAATTTCCAATATGAGCAACGAGCCTTCTAGGACGGGATCTATTCCTACATTGATGGTAAGTTCCTATGAAACCCTTGGGAGTTGAGGAACATAATTTTTGATGTATTTGGAGTACCTTTTCTCTGTTGTTCGCCTTTTGTGCTCATACACATTATATAGTCTCCCGACTACTAAGAAGTGTCTAATTTAGTCCCAAATATTTAGAATTTAGTCTCAGACTTTTTAAATGTGCTCCAAATTAGTCTTGAATCATTTTATTCGTTAAATTTGATGGTGACTTGCATGAATTGAAGGATATTTTCATCTTTTGTTTAATTATTCAAAAATTATGTGGTTTGTATATATATCTCTTTTCTTATTTGTTGCTGAATAGTTATAATCTTTAATTTGCATTAATAAATCGCTTCACAAGTCACCACTTTTTTTCAAATGAAAATTTTTAAAATAATCAAGAATTGTGCAATAAGAGCTCACTCAATCTAACATTATATATATTATTCGATTTCAATTGAATTTTTGATTTGAATATTATTTATTAGAGAATGTGTTTTAAAATAGTTAAAATTAACTTGTAAAACTAATTAATAAATTTATTTGTGTTTAAAATATTATGTATGTGAATGTGATTGATAGAATTACCCATGGTGAGTTTTATTCGTGAAGTTTGCAAATAGATAAACTTTCCCTTCAAAACGTGAAAGGAATTGTTAAAATTTAATGAAAAATGTGATGCAGGATTAATTTAGAGCACCTTTTAATAGTCTGAGGCTAAATTGGAGCATTTTAAAACTCGGGACTAAATTAGAGCATTTTAAAACTCGGGACTAAATTGGAATCTTCTTACTAGTCAGGGGATTAATTTGGTGTTTTACTCTATGCATTATCTAATGCTGACAATCTTTATTAGGTTTCTGTTGTAATGGATGGAATAAGTTTGGTTTATGAAGTGCTTGAATGCTGCATTGTTTTAGCGAATGTGTACGTGGCGGTCCCACGGATAATTTGACAATCCTTAACATATGGTTCCTCCAGCACTTGACATTTACTTTTTGTTAATGTTATTTTGAAGAATTATGCTGTTCAAAAGATTTGTCAAATTTTTAGCTTCACAATTCCCGCATTAACAGCTTGCAATTGCAGATTACTGTTTATTACATGAGACTCAAACTTGAAACTTTTGGAACCTTACCAATTATATAATGCAGTTTATTATGCATGTACTAGTTTTTAAAATTTTCCTATATTGCCATATGCTAATAATTTTACTTAAAAATCATAATTATTCCATATTTGATATCTGGTTTTACACAATTGGTTACTTTGACCTTCCGTGGTTTAACTTCTTGCCTGCTTTGCAGCAAGATAAGCCGTGGTTTAGCATTTTCCTGTTTTTTTCCGGGATAAGTTGTTGCAAAATTGACAGATGTTTTTGGTTGAAAGATGGTGTTATGCTGGTTTAGCCTAAAGACAATTTAGTCTTTTATTGACCTAAGGGCAATTGAGGTTTTTATTAACGTAAGGGAAATTGGGTCAATTTTTTTTTTATTGTTTGGCATAAAGAGACCTAACAGGTTTAGTATTGGGCACACGAGATTATGTACGGATCTTAGGTTTAGAGTTTAAGAGATTTTCTACCTCTCGAATTGTAGGAATTGAGAGAGATCGCCTATTTTTCGAATTATAGGTGTTTATTTTTTATTTAAGTGTTGGATGTTTTTACAATAAAATGTGTTTGCCCTAATTTCTATGGAAAATCATCTCGATTTATGGGTTGAATCGCCATTAGTTTTCCTAGCCGCGTTCGCTTAGGAATGACAGGAACACTGTAATAACTGAATTTTAAATAAAAAAATAATAATAAGGGAAAATTTGAAACGACGATAAGGGTCGATATAATCCTTAGATTGTTTCACATTTAGCGTCACACACCCCATTCAAAACAATCGAAATCAAGAACGAGGGAGCAAGAGGGAGAGCAGAGAGATCGAGAAAAGAAGAAAATTTGAGAAGGAAGAAATAGAAATAGGAGAAGTCGACATGCCCTAATTCAGAAGAAGAGGCGTGGGCTTAGGTGACATTGCGTCACTCTTTGTCGAAGCCAGAGAAGAGTTGAAGCATCCTTACTACGCGTGCGACATCGCTATCCTACTTAGGAAGGCGATACTGAAGCACCCTTATCGTGCTAGAGAGATTGTCATACCCTAGCCTAACAAAATTGAAGAGCGAATAAGAAGAGAAGGGAATTCGAGCGGCTTCGTGCGTTGTGCTTGCATGTGGTAAGAGTCGAACCTCGTGTGCAGAGAAAGAGGAAGATGATCACGCGCTGCTCTGTTGGGTCGTGCCAAAATCGAAGGAAAGGAAGAAGGGAAGACTCTGCATGCGCTAGGCCTATCGATCGAATCATATAAGGTGAATTTAACACTCTTTTATTTAATAAGAATTATACATATAGGTTACTGTTTAAATATTAGATTTAAGTGCATTTAATATCGAAATTGAAGATATTAAAGTTTTGAATTTGTAGGAGTAAGGTGACAAGAACTCCGTGTATGAGGGAAGAGGAAGAATCGCGGGCGTGAAGTAAAGAGCCAAAGCTTAGCGAAACCCTAATTTGCGAGTTAAGATAAATTTGAAGAGGAAGAATCACGGGCGTGAAGTAAAGAGCCGAAGCATAGCGAAACCCTAATTTGCGAGTTAAGATAAATTTTTTTGTTATAATTGTTTAGCGAAATTTTATATACATTAAATTGATATATATTTAATATGTTAATATTAACTTATGTTAAATTGAGGTCAGGGAGTCTATCAAGAAAACTTTGCGTGCAAGTAAGGGAGGAGATCGACCTGAAAGAATATAAGGAAGTATAGAAGAAGGTTATTCAGAATTGAAATTGATAAAAAGGTTAACGATTCAGTGAAATGTATGATTAAGCTAATAAAGAGATCTACTAAAGATTGAGATTAGTAAATATGACTTAAGTTGCAGTAATTTTCTTTTTTTTAAAATATTTTTGTTTGCATTTTTATTTGTCTTATGCTAATGCAATTACATTTGATTCTTCATATCATTAGTCTTAAAGTATGCATGTTAAATATAGCTGCATAATAGTTTAGATTAATAATATATCAAATTGTTGCATGACCAGATACATATAT